AGAAGAAACGAGGTGGCTGTGGTGGACAAGCAATCAACCGTAGGTGAAAGGTGGTGTGAACAAAGCTGAAGGGGAGAGGAAAGCTGGAGATCTGGTCAGCCAGGATCAATCGACGACTAGAAATCCAAGGGTGTCAAGCAGAATCGTCATGCAAGCACCTAAGAATGTTTCAGATCAGGTCAAGAGAGGGAGGGGGGGATTCCGAGGGGGACGGGGTAAATTTCAACATCCACCGGGGAGGAACGAACAGAGCGAGCAAAGGGCTGTAGCCCCCACAAAAGGAAGGAAAGGGAGAGGAGAGGACATGGCCCGCCAGCTTAACGATGGCGAGGCTTCAAGCCTGTCAGTCTCTGCAGCCTCGGGCAAGTTAGCAGAGGTAAAGATCACTGTGGACGAGGACGGGAAGGCTACTGTGAAACTCTCGCTGCTCAAGGAGTCGCCAGCTAAGAGACCGGATCCTAATAGCTCTGCTCAGAAGCCCAAGGCAAAGGAGGTCTCAATGTTCGAACGAACCCGCAGTATGCTCGTTGAGACGATGCGCCGCGAGGAGGGTTCCAAGCAGGCTGTCAACACAAGGAAGTTGTTCGAGCACATCAAGGCCTTCTTTGTGCAGGCAGAGCCGACGATCGAGGAGAAGATTGCTCAGATGATCAAGGCAGGACTTGAGCGCGAGCATGACGATGGTTCAGCGAAAGAGGACCAGGACGGAGGGCAGAGTGCCGCTCTCGACGAGAAGGTGGCTGTGGAGCTCTGTCTTGAGTGCCAACAGATCAGCAAGCTGCTGCGAGATGCGCTGGGCATGCTTCTCCTGCAGAGTGAGCCGTTCGGAGACAAGCCCATCCTGCCGGTCCTCGACATGCTGGTCAAGGTGTACGAGTGGGAGAAGAACTTCCAGCCGTCGTTTGAGGATCCGCCGGTCTGGTCTACCGGTGAGACTGTTTCAGAGCCGAACTTGGAGGTCTTGCGGCAGACGATCAAGCCTTACCTACAGAGGCTGGCGGTGCCGCCCGGTGTGAAGGAGGACAGGAACCGAGTGCTGTCCTTCCTGTCAGAGTTCGCCCAGTCGTTCTTCAAGAAGAAGAACTTCGGGCCTGTTGAACTTCTCAAGTTCGGCTCCATCTCAGCCAATCTTGACACTCCCAACTCCGACATGGACTTGACACTGAGAATCCACGGAGAAATCCCGCATGAGTACATGCTGAAGCCCAGGAAGGGATCGGACAAGCCTGTTTGCAGCCGATGCAAGGCCAGCGGGCACACGGCGGAGCAGTGCCCCAACAAGACCAAAGAGGAAGGAGGGCCCGAGAGCACCGAGGGGAACGGCACACCTGCGATGGAGAACAATCGTAGTGATGGAGAGCAGGAAGCAGACGACAACGACGATGACGTTATCGTAGATCATGACGGCCACGTGGATGACGACGACGAAGAGCCTGGCCAGGTCATCGACAAGAAGACCATCCTCCTGGAATTCAGCAAGAAACTTCGACGGGAGAACTCCAAGAACCTCTCGGTCTGGGCCGTGATCCACTCGAGAGTTCCGATCGTGAAGATCTCAGACCAGACGTCGGGCGTCCACTGCGACATCTCGATGCAGAACGACCTCAGCCTGTACAAGGATGCTTTGCTTCGCTCCTACGTCAAGATCGACAGTCGCTTCCAGAAGCTCGTGGCGCTTGTCAAGACCTGGGCGAAGGCGAGGGCGATCAATGATGCGGCTGCTCACACTCTCAACTCCTTCGGGTACACGCTGCTGATCATCCAGTTCCTCCAGGTCTGCTCGCCCCCAGTCTTCCCCAACCTTCAGAGTGCAGTGATCGAGTTCAAGGGCAACCGGTACGAGATCCCAGAGCCAGTCGCTGTGGTTGACAACCTGGAAATCCGTTACCACGGCTGTAATGGACCCGATCATGACGACATCGCCCATCTGGTCGGGTATGGTGAGGCCAACACCAGCTCGGTGGAGCAGCTCCTTGTTCAGTTCTTGCACTTCATTGCTGTGAAGCTCGATCTTGACAAGCACTGCGTCTGTGTGCGCGAGGGAAACTTGAAGGATGCGGACAAGTCTCAGTTCAAGCACAAACATCCCCCGCACATGTGCATCGAAGATCCGTTCGACCCTAAGGACAACGTCGCGCGATCCCTGACCGATCGATCCGTCAAGACAGTCAAAGTTGAGTTCCTCCGGGCCCACGAGGTGATGAGTCGGACGGGAGACTTCCGCAAGTGAGTTGACACTCTCCTCCTCTTGATGAAGCCGCTGACGTGCGCGCAGGTTATGTCACAAGACCCCCAAGGGAGCGGAGCTCTTACCTGACCACGACACTGACGCTCTCGCCGCCGCCGCTGCTGCTGCAGTGACGAGAGGTCGAGGAAAGTTTGCCTCTCCTCAGGTGAGGAGGGGTCCCCCGGTACCTGAGGGGAACAGGTCAGCCCGTCCTCAGCCAAGGCATCCAAGTCAAGGTGAGCAGCGAGGTCAGGCCGAGACTGCCAGGTCCGGTTTCGCAGCATCTTCTAGACAGCACCAGCAGCAGTACATGAGCTTTCAACAACAGCAGCGCGCTCAGCAGCAGCAGCAGCAGCAGCAGCAGCAGCAGCAGCAGCTCCGTCAACAGCAACTTCAACAACTGCACCACAAGCAGCAACAGCAACAGCAACAGCAACAGCAACAGCAGCACATGATGAATATTAATTCGCAGCAGATGCAGAGGCAGAGGCGGGAAAATCAAAGCAACGCCCAACATCACCCTAAGCAGCAACACTATCAGCAGCAGCAGCAGCAGCAGCAGCAGCAGCAGCATCAACAGCAGCAGCACCATTCACACCAGCACCAGCACCAGCACCAGCACCAGCTGCACTTTCAGCAGAATGTCCAGCAGCATTCCCAGCAGCACCTTGGGTATCAACAAGGTGCATTCCAGAACCACCCTCAGAATCAGACTCGTCAGATCTACCAACAGCACCCGCAAGTTCAGCAGCACTACCAGCAGCCACAGCACTACCAGCAGCAGCACCAGATGCAACAGCTACACCAGCTGCAGCACCAGCAGCTACAGCAGCAGCACCAGCAGCAGCACTTTCAGCAGCAGCAGCACTTCCAGCAAGGGCTGCCATATCAGCCGCAGCAGGTGGCGGTAGATCATCAGGAAGCAACTCGGGGTCTCATGAGGATGAAGGCCGTGGCTGGTGGCCCAACAGCTCCTCACCAGCTGGGGGCTGACCCCATGCACTTCCAGGAGCCCCCCAGCTATGTCGGAGCTCTTCACCCTGCTGGTCCGATCGACGGGTACAACCAGCGCTCCATGGCTGCCCGTGGGAGCTCCCGTCCTCGTGTCCGAAGCACGGTCACCCCCGCTAGACCGCTGGACAGACAGGACGGTGGAGCGAGAGCAGGAGAAGGAGGAGTACTAGCAGGAGCAGGAGCAGGAGCAGGGTCTGCGGGTATGCCAGGTATGGGCGAAGGGGTGTGGTATGATCTGACATTGCCGCAGGCCCGCACGTGGGGCGAGGAGGGCCGGGAGCACAGGGCATACGCTACGGTGAGAGCTGCTGCTGATCTGCTGCTGCTGCTGCTGCTGCTGCTGCTGCTGCTGCTGCTGATCTGCTGCTGCTGCTGCTGCTGCTGCTGCTGCTGCTGCTGCTGATGCTGATGCTGATGCTGATGCTGATGCTGATGCTGATGCTGATGCTGATGTGTCCGAGTGAAGTGACAGTGAGCTGAAGGCGCTCGAGGCGGCGCGCGCGGACGGAGGAGGTTCGAAGAGTGAGGAGAGGAGGATGAGCCATTTTGAAGGAATGCTAAGAATTTTGAAGCAAGAAAAATCCTGTTGAAAGAGGAGGGTTGAGAGAAGAGA